AAAGAGAAATAACCACCACCAAGAATCCCAGCTGCAGGTGTGGTCTGGTTTGTTTTTATCTCAGTTCTGGTTCTCTGATAAGGGTTGTGAAAAAGTTATCACCCATTACTTGAAGGGAATAATCTGATTTCCCTGAGATGATTCTTCTAGCTCCAGGGGTCAGCCTGATCAATACAGGTCATAGTCCTCATTTAAGGGTGGCTTATCCTTCAGTCTCAGTCCTTCCTGAAGGCAAGTTTCAGTCTCTTGTTATAAAGATGTCAGTCTTGTTCTTCTTGGAACTCAGGGTAATTGCCAAATGTCTTAGAGGAAAGGCAAACACAAAATGTAGGCCAAGAAGCCTAGCTTTCCTCCTGCTTTCAGTTAATTTGTGGGTCCAAGTAAGGAGTCAATGCTTTTCAACAAAAGCAGTGCAAACTGTTAAACCGAGCGAGCTTCTGTGCTCGGTACTAGTGCTCTACCACTTTGAGCTACAGCTCCACTTGCGGTTTGTTGTGTTTTCTCTTGCTTTTGGGGTTGGAGATAAGAGACTCACAGACGTCCCTGACCCATCTGGCTTCCACCCATGATCCTCAGATCTCAGTCTCCTAAGTAGCTAGGATTGCAGATTTGATCCACCAGTGCCCAGCCCAAATCATCTGTATAAAATACTGTTTGGGGAATGGTTGTGAAGGTTTAATGATCCAGATGAAGACTGAAAGATGAAGAAGAGAGTAGATGAAAGGGATCTAGACATGCTGATGTGTTCTTCCAGCTAGAACAGCTGCTAAGAAGCTGAATGGACAGTGTAACCTTCTCTATCACCACAGCCTGAGACAAAGCAGTCATCCAACTGCATCCATTTTAGGACTTTGGATTACAATGAGTCAACTGTTTTGAGAGACACTCAGAACTTGGCGTTTTACTTTTTGTTTTTGGGTGACTTTTCCAGTTATATTCCAATTGATATAGAAAGTTAGGTTGTTGCATGCTTGTTTAACCTTGTGAGACAAAAGTCAATGTTTCCTCTCAATCACTAACTGGATGGCCCAGAGTCAACACTGAAACAAGAAGTGGGAATAAAGGAAACACCAGCACTCCTTACATGTTGAAGAAGGGGGAGGAAGAGGATGTGGACAAAAAGGATCACATTAGCAAATACAATCTACAAAAATTAGCCAAAGGTTTATTTGGACGAAGGGATTCAAACGACTTGGGAATAAAGGCAAAAGTTAACCTTTACTGTAGGCTGAGTCCTAGCACAGCTGGGTCTTATCCCAAGAGAATGAACTCTGTCCTTTAGGCCCATTTCCCCTTAGGTAAAGCTTCCAAGGGAAACACTTCTAACTTCTCCAATGTGTGATCATGTATGTCCAGGACTAGAACCAGTCAACAAAGTAAACAAGTAGACAAGCAAACAAAAACTTAACAAGTATCAGAGATCTCCAACCTCCTCTCCCTAAATTTCTGTTTCTTTCACCATTTCTTGGCCTTCAGCAGAGAAATCCCATAAAATAAGATAGAAGCAAGAAGGGACAGAGTATTGGGAGTTCTTCCACTGCCCAATAAATAGATTAGAGTACATGAGGACCCAAAACTATCTCCTAAGCATGACAGATGGATTCATACAGGCCTTGCAGAAAGTCAGGTAATTTCCCCACAACCAATCAGGTAAGAAGTGGGTCAGTTAAATTCATGAATTCTAGAACCAGAACTCCTAGTTCAATCCCTGATCTTTCTCCTACTAACTGAGGGGGGACTCCTTTGTGCCTCACAAAATGAATCGTCCACAAAATGAATCATGGTACTTTATCTGACCTTCTTGACAGCCTTATGAAGTCATCAGAGTTGGCTCTTCACTGAGTTATTGAGCTGACTGACTGAATGAATGTTTGTAAAGCACTCAGAATAGCCAAGGCATGGAAATGATTTCCCAGTGTTTACTTACTGATGGGAATTTGCAAACCAAAAATGTGAAAGTCTACTCTCCCACCCCCAGCCCCCTGGGTTAACAGGCGCCTGAGTTTCAAAGCATGCCACACCTGGCTGAATGGGGACCTCCTTGTTGGATTTGTACAACAGGCTCTGGGGACCAGGCCTGCGTAAATTACTTCACTCTGAAACACAAACTCACCAAGCCCGCACGAAAGCTTTTGTACCCTCAGCCACCTTCACCCAGCACCGAACTTAAGACCCTTCTCCCCTTACTCTCCTCAGGTTACCATGTGTCCCTCTTCAACTTTCCCTTAAAGTTGATTTGGTCTGTTGAGGTCATTTTCTGCTCTTTCTTGACCCTAATACTATTATGACTCAGTTTCCTAACACTTACCAGTTGTTTATTTCAATGCTAAGGTGGAATCATCCTGTAACAACAGCAGAAGACAAAGTTGACAATTCACTTGGCTTTAAACTATATGTAAGAATATATGTTCATATATATGCATATGCACACGTGCGTGCATATACATATACATATGCGTGTACATGCATATGTATATAGGTGTATATTATATATCGTTATATATTATAATTAGATACAAAGTTCAATATATTCTCTATATACACATAGCTATATACATGTATGTGTATATGTACATGCATGTGTGCATGTATAGGTACATGTGTGTATATAAACCTACATGCATATATAGATATATATAGAGAGAAATGTGAGAGATGATTAGTTTTTCTGTTGCATTATTTTCAACTTGTGTAACATACATGAGTAGAAAACTTGTAGTACTACATAGACTTCGGGTGTGAAAGGGTAACAGGTGATGTCAGGTCTCTTGCACTTCTAAAAGACAATATTGGTCAATATACAAGGGCATGTGGATGAAGGAGTTCAGGTATGTTTATAACAAGTAGGCTATAAGAAATAGCAAGTTACAGACAGTAGTTAGGATGTTCATCCAGGTTGACTCCAAGCAAAACTAGTGATAGCCCTTGTATGCCAGGCATCTGCCTTTACCCTTCAAACACATTATTATTCAATTATTCAATTCCTTTTCTTTCTTTCTTTTATCTTTTTTTTTCCGGTGCTAGTCCTTGGGATTGAACTCAAGGCCTGAGCACTGTCTCTGAGCTTTTTTGCTCAAGGCTAGTGCACTACCATTTGAGCCACAGTTCTGGATTTTCTGGTAATTAGTTGAGATAAGAGTCTCATTGACTTTCCTGCCCAGGCTGGCTTTGAACCACAATCTTCAGATCCCAGCCTCCTGAGTGGCTAGGATTACAGGTGTGAGTCACAGGCATACAGCTTAATTATTCAGTTCTTACACCACCTCCCTGAGGTAAAGATGATTAGGATCCTTGTTATCAATGGGAAAACTGAGACTTGGTGGCACACGGTGGTGCTAAGATTTAAACTACCTTCCCCAGAACTCAGGTATGATTGTCTTATTATAACTGGAAGAAATGGTGAGATGTGCAAAGGTATCTTAGATTCTTCCACTTTCTCTTTTGGGGTTTTGCTTTATAAATAAAGCCCTAACAAAGTATACTTATGATAGATACTTCAATAAATACAGAAAGGAAGAAAAGAAAAAGATCCAAATATGAGGGTCTCATGAAAGAAGGTCATTGCTCAATTTGGGTGCATTTCTTTCTCTTTTCCCTAAGCACAGAGGACTGTTTTATGTGTTTTATTTTACACACAGATGATCAAATTACAAATATAATGTTACCCCTTATTTTTTTCTTCCTTTTCCATAATATTAAAAACTTCATATAGACTTCATGCTGCGGCATAGAAGTTCCATAATGTATTTACCATTAATTTTATGTTGGACATTGGAGTTTTTCAAACTGTGTGTGTGTGTGTGTGTGTGTGTGTGTGTGTGTAATAAATCTTTGTTCCCTCTTTCATGGTAGTTTTTGCTCTTCTAACATTTTTTTTTACATCTCCCTCAGGTACACAATGATCTTGATAACCTTCTACCCTTCCTTCCTTAAAGTTTGTATTCTGGAAAGCCGCTGATCAACTCTTTCATACCGCAGTGTCCACAGTGCATCAAGCTGAATATGTTATCTTTTCTTTAAGGATACTTTTGTCTTTCCACAGGGCAAAAGGACACAAGTTCCCTTAATTCTGGAAAGCCGTTGAGAAGATGGGTTTTTTTAGCTGCTGACGTGGTGAAGGGGAAGGGCACGTTTAATTGAGAGTGAAAATCTTGAGTGGAAGTATGAAAGAGAATTAGACCTTTCACCCTGCAGAGCCAAGAGTACTTTGCACCACTAACCTAGTTTTTCCAGCTCTCCAATTTGCCCTTCCCTACAATGTAGTTGGCCTTGGGGCTGGGTCCGCCCACCTTCCCAGAACAGCCTCGTCGAGTTCTGGGTCCTAATTACCCAAGGCCAGCCACCATCGAGCAAATCCCAGGAAGGGAAAGTAAGGTTGCCAGAGGGATCCCAGGCTCCCAAAGCCAGGGACACCTCCAAGTCTGTGTCCACAGACAAATCCTGTGGCAACTCCGGCGACCCAGAGGGGCCGAGGAGCGGGGGATTGGCGGGGGGGGGGGGGGGGGGGGGGGGGTGGGACGGGGCAGGGCGCAGGAGAGAGACGGCGCCCCTGATCCACGCTGCAAGCGCTGGGCTCTTCCTTCTCCCAGACGCTTCATTCAGGCTTTGGTGATTCGCGGGCACCTCACAGCCTGCGTAGGGGCAGCCACGGCGTCCCAGAACACAAAATCGCTCCTAACTCGTCAGGGCACGGTGTTCTTCTGCCACCCCATGACTAGGGAAGGTGCGGGAGTAGGCGGGGTGGGGGTGGGGGCTGCGGGTGGGGGAGCAGAGACTCCGCCCCCTCTGGATGGTGGGCCAAACCCCCAAATTTAGGTACCAAGAGGGAGAGGGAGAGGAAGAGGGAGAGGGAGATCGGGAGGGAGGAAGGGAGAGAGAGAGGGAGGAAGGGAGAGAGGGAGGGACAGACGGACAGACAGACAGACATCAGGTGCCGGTTATGGGTCGAGAAGTAAGCCCTGGCCACCGTGCCCGGGCGCCTTTCCACGAGTGCTGCACCGAGACCCCGAGCGCCCCACGCAAGCACCCACCCACCCACCCACCCACCCGCCTCCCCGGATTGCCGCTCCTCCCTCCTTCCTCGCTGGTTGGCCCAGGCGCTGCAGAGATCGGCAGCAGGAGGAGCCGGGCGCGCCCGCCGCCACGCAAAACCGCCGCGCTCGCCGGCCGGCCGGGGTAGCTAGCAGGCACCGCGCGCGATCCCAGGTGGCGGTGGCGGCCGCGGCGACAGCTGTCAACGTGCATCCTCCTCCCGGAGCCGCCGCCGCAGCCCGAGCCAGCCGGCCGCCCCCGGGTCTCCCCGCCTCAACCCCCCGGCCCCGCGCGCACGCTCCACACCCCACGCGCACCACCAGGAGCAGTGGCCGCAGCGACCGCTGGGAGCCCGGGCGCCTGCCATGGGGAAGCCGGCGAGGAGAGGATGGGACTGCAAGCGCTTCCTGAAGACCAACTGGCTGCTGCTCTCCACCGTGGCCGCCGTGGTGCTAGGTGAGCGGCGGGTGGGCCGCGCGCGCGCGCACACACACACTCACGCGCGCCCAGTGCCCAGGCCGCGTGCCCGGGCGTGCGGGGTGAGGGCGGGCATGGCGCTGGCCGGCGCGATGCGTGTTGGGGGTCCCCCTCCCCTCCCCCTTGGCCTTGGCCTTGGGTTCCCACGCCGGTAGGGCATGGGGGGGGGGGTTCGGGGGGGGGGGGAACAGCCTGTCCCTGGAGCGCGCTGGATTGCTGTGAGCTGAGAACAAAGCTAGGGGAGTCTGATTTGGGTGCCTGTTCCTTGCTTTATCCAAAAAAGGATCAAAGTAGGGGTGGAGGGAGACCCCCTTTGGGCAGATGGACAAGCACTGACCTTGTGAAAATAAACAGGGTTTGGTTTGATTTCCCACGGTACTGCTCACTCCACCCCCCCCCCCCACACACCGTGGGTTTTCTTTTCTTCTTTTTTTTCCCCCCTCTTCTCCACCAACCCCAGCTAGTGCCCTGACAAGAGATCATTAGAATTACAGTTGTCAGTGGAAGAGGTGTCTCTGGAATGGCCTGGGGAAGGAGGGGGGACTGGGTAGGGAGGAGATGAGGACTAGTAATGTTGCCCCCCCCCCACACCAGCACCAACCCTAGGCAGGGCTTGGGAAGGTGCCCCCCCACACACACACACAACACACACCCCGGATTACCCACGCCTCCATAAGACTGCCATATTCCTACATGAATTTACTGGCCCGCCAGAGGTCACTGGGGGAAGAAGAAGACTGAAGGCACTCAGGCTCCTCTTGGGCTACCTTACCCTCCACGTGTTCTATTAAACTGATGTTAAGCTGTGCTTACTGGGTTTCAAACAGGAGTGTTTTTCACTCAAGTCTGACAGATCGTATTTGAGCCACTGCTCCGGGGTGTGCGTTGCTTCTATTCAGCTTCTGATAGTCTGATGAGGTGGTGTTTTCTTGATTGTTTCTGGGGTGTACTTCTTTGGAGCTCTGTGTGTCTCCTTGCCCTATGAGCTGACACAGGTCACAGATCGGGACATCCCAGCAAGTGAGGGCCAGTTCAAGCTCCAGGGAAAGTGGATTCCTTGGCAGGCTCCACCCCCTGTTTGGAAACCACTGCTGCTTTTGCTGGAAAGTCAGATGGGGTCAGCCTGGCCTCCCAAACTTAGCCCAAACCCCTCCAGCTACTGCTTCCAGAGAATTCTTTCTATTGTCTTGCCCATTCCATCATCCTCCATACCAACCAAACAAACAAAAATAGAAACTCAGCCACCTTTGCAAGTTAATGGGATCCTTGGAGTCAGTTTGCCTCCTCCAGAACCTGTGCAAAGGAAAGTCAGGTTTTCTAGTAAATAAATAACATCCTGGAATTGCTCTAACAGAGGACTTTTGTGGGAGGAAAGGGAAGACTTAGAAATGCCAAGTGTTGACTTTCCTCTCACAGACGTGCAAGTGGTTTTTGGACATTTTTTAGGGAAGGTTTACCCTGTCGTGCCACAATTGAAATAGCAAACTCTACCAAGAGAATGATTTGATTTCTCTTCCAGCAAATAGAAGAGATGGCCTTGTTGATTTTCTCAGAGAGGCATCTAGAATTCATGATTAAATTCTTTCCTCAAGACTTGGGGGTAGGGGTGGGGAATGACCTTAGCTTTGTGTCACCCTCCTAATTCCTGGGGAAGTGCACTAATCCTGATTTTTTTCAGCCCAGGACTCTCCAGAGATGCTGGCCTGTAAACCAAGTGTTGTACGTACACCAGCCAGTGCTTGGGTTGGTGTACCAATGCACTAGAAGCCACGTTGGAAAAAAAGTGTGAGCAGTTGTTCCCTAGTCTTTAGAACCAGTTATATTGCTAAGTATATCTTCAGGATCAAGAAGGATTTCAGGCCTACTGTCCAGATGTGGGCCCCAAGGGGCCCTTCCCCTTAATTTTAATGCCAGAAAGACCCAGGAATTTAATTTGGATACTTTTTCCTCCATAAATGCCATGCATCTTTAAAAAATTCCAAGCATCCTTCTGAAGTCTGATGGACATTATTTCTCCCTGATGGAAATTCATATTTGGCTTTGGTTTTGTTGGTTTGTTCGTGTTTTTGTTTCTGTGTTTGTTTTTGCTACTGATATGGTAAGTCTCCAGCTTGTAGCATCCCCAAGTATGCCCACCCTAACACTTCCTGAGACCCTCTTCTTCTCCCCTCCTCCTCCTCCTCCCCTCCCTCCTCCTCCCCCTCCCCCTCCTCCTCCACCTCCACCTTCTTCTTATTTATTTTGCCAGTCCTGGGGCTTGAACTCATCCTGGACACTGTCCCTGAGCTTCTTTTGCTCAAGCTAGCACTCTATCACTTGAGCCATAACACTACGTCTGCTTTTTCTGTTTATGTGGTACTGAGGAATTGAACCCAGGGCTTCATGTATGCTAGGCAAGCACCCTACCACTAAGCCACCTTCCCAGCCCAAGACCCTCTTCTTTTCTCCTTTGGACATCTATAAGAAATCGAACTTCTCTTTGTGTAGTCTATATTAGTTCCTTGGTTTACTGAGCAGTGAAATTCCAGCCCTTTTAAAACAGTGGCACTATGTAGCTATAAGCCCTTGCTAGGCCATGATAGTAAAAGTATATTTTATAATTGGTCCTGAAACATCACAAGAGCTCTTAGGCAGTCTCCTTTCTGGACTTTCAATATGTGGGCCTTGAAGAAGAAGAAGGAAAAAAAAATCCTCTTAAATTTACTAACTACCATGGTGAAATGTTATCTTCTGATTGCAACCAGGGAAATGTTTGTTACCTCTGTAGTGAATTTAGCAATTCTGACTCTGTAAAGTAATTTGGCTTTTGAATGAAGGGCAACCCTTTTATATGTGTTGCTTAAAGTCTCTGCTACTCTCCAACCCCATTTGCCCCCATGATATGGCAGGTGAAGATAAATACAATTAAAGATCATCTATATTAAGTGTGGATGTTGGTTTTGTGTTTCATAGACCAGCAAATGCTATGAGCTAAATGTGTCTTAAGTTCTGACTCATAGATAGAAGGATTAAATAGATGACCATCTCGGTCCCTGAAGCAACTTACAAGTTGTTGAAAATAATACCTTGGATTTTCACATGAGAGGCTTTTCCTCAGATACCATGAGGACGATTTGATTGCTTTTATTTGATAAGCTTTTATTAGGTCGGCTTTTCCCTGCTTCTGTACTGCATTCAGGGAACAAGGACAGAGCCTGCATTTGAATTCTGGCTCCAAAAGGCACTTCCATCAGACAAATTGCTTATTCTCTGGGCTCATCCGTTCCTCATCTTCAGAATGGAAATCTTTGTCATTAGGGTTGACTAAGAGAATGTCAAAATAGCCAGGTACATACTGGCATAAGCTATGCATCCAGTGAATGTTATTACAAAGTAAATCTGAATGGTTGATGATGGGAAAAATTAATCGTATGATGTTGTCTCTCCTGCTGTGTGACTTTCTTTGTACTTCTTGGTATCCAGCCAATAATTTGGAGTCCAGGGTGATTCAAGTGTTTTGATGACTTTGGTCTATCTCAGCCAATAGCAACTTCCATAACATTCCTTAAGAAAGAAAGAAGGAAAGAAAGAAAGAAGGAAAGAAAGGAAGAAAGAGAGAGAGAGAAAGAAAGAAAGAAAGAAAGAAAGAAAGGAAGGAAGGAAGGAAGGAAGGAAGGAAGGAAGGAAGGAAGGAAGGAAGAAAGGAAGGAAGGAAGGAAGGAAAATAGAATTAATCATTTTGTTTTGAATCCTACAGCTTAACTCTCCATTCACTTAACAGGCAGAAATTCTGAGGGAGGGAATTGTGTCCTCTCAGTGAAAAATCTGTTCAAGTAGAATTACCGAGAGAGAATTCTGGAAGCCTACAGATTTAAGTCACCAACAAGGATTGTACAGCATGGAGTGTTGAGAATAGACCTTAAAGATCTCACCCTACTCCAGACTTATTTTGTGTTATTTCAGTCATTTGAGAAAAAGAAATCTTTGATTCCAAGCTTGAGGAGCTACAGGAAAAGCAATAAGGTTCTGTCTATCAATGGAGCTGGCAGTTTTATTAATTGTAAATCATTACCTTTGGAGTACTGTAGAAGCAGTCATTGATAGATTGCAATTCTATTGTCTGAACTCTGAACCAATTCCTTCACTTGTCTGGTAATACCTTGACCAACCTCATGTTTCTACCCTGGAGCTCTGTGGCATATACCTGGTAGTGTTTGTTTTGGACTTAGTATATGCTTTGGTACAATGGAACTCTTGATGACAGGGGCTGACCATGGCTTATGCTAGTTCTGAGCCTTGTCCTTCACCCCAGACTGAATTAGCTTAGCAGAGGTTAGTAATATTCCTGCAGCAGCCAACCTCTACCTCATTCATTCATTCACTCAATGTGCCATGGTACCCTAGGTGTGCCAGGGATTTTTTTAAGAGCCAAATCACATACAGAGCAGTGAACAAAACTCCTACTCCATGGACCTTATGTTACAGTGGAAAAAGGCAGAGGGTAAATGGAGTAAGTAGGAAAATAGAACATAGAACCAGTACTCTGGAATGACAGAAAGCTTGGAAGGTGGGTAGGGAAGGCAGAGATGGCAATTTTAAGCAGGCAGGCCATACTGAGACTGAGAAGTTATCAAGTGAATCAAGGCAAAAAGAGGCAAAAGGACAAATTGCACAGGGATCTAGAGTGGAGTACCTTTGCCTAGCAAATGCAAGATCCTGAGTTCAAATCTTAGTACCACACAAAAGTGAAAAGATGTAGATGAGAGAGAGGAAGACAATGGGGTCCAGAAGAATAGAAGTTACATGGAATAGAGGGGCCTCAGAGGTCTGAGATCTGACAAAGCCATGATCCTTGGGGAGCCCTAGGGGTGGGGGAAACCTTGCTCCTGGACTCTTTTAGCCTCTTTTGGTGGTCCCACCATTCCTGAGCTTGTGGCCACAGCCATTGTAATCTACACTTTCACCTTAAGGTATATGTCTTTTGTGATATATTAGAGCCC